AACATTTGTGGCAAAAACCTAAAGACATAAAAGTTACTATTGCTAACTTCCTTTAGATTTAATATATATATGGAATAATTATGAAACAGTCATATGGAGGACAATTGTATCCTTAATATTTCATCGTTCAATACACAAAGTAAAAGATTTGAATTCAAAAACTTTGTAAGCTGGAAAATTCTGGACTCTAAAATCTAAATTAATGTATCTTCAAAGTCCTTTTCACCCCCTTTGGTTTAACAACTATTTGTACAAATAATATCATCATCCTTTCAAACTTCAATCATTTCACAAAGTGTTCCAATTCAGACGCCACTTTCCGATCAACCATGAATCCATTCCTGTTCCTATTTTCGTTCCTGTTTTTCGCTCGCGAATCCGTTTCTCAACAAACGTATTCCGAAAACCACATTCTAGAATGTAACAATTCCAACACAACAGAACTAACCCCGGAATTCCTCTACACTTGCAACGGAATCCAATCGTGTTCCACCTTCTTAATCTTCAGAACTCAACCTCTTTACAACACAGTTTTCACCATTTCCAAGCTTATGTCAACCGACCCTACGGATGTCGCCCAAATCAACGGAATCACTGATTCCACCGGAATCTTGCCACTAAACAAAGAGCTAATCATTCCGGTTACATGTTCTTGTTCTGGTAAGTACTATCAAGCTAACACATCTTTTGTTATTCCGATTAACACCAACTATTTCACTATCGCAAATTCCACATTCCAAGGTTTAACCACATGTGATTCCCTCCACAAAAACAATATTTATAAAGAAAATGATTTACAAGTTGGTAGCAAGATTCCTGTCCCACTTAGATGTGCGTGTCCTACGATTAGTCAAACCATGTCCGGAATCAGGTTTCTGTTGACTTACTTGATTACTTGGGAAGATTCAATCAAGAAAATTAGTAATCAGTTTGATGTGAAATTTCAAGATTTAATTTTGGAAAACGGGTTTTCTTCTGTTGAAGATTTGATTTTTCCGTTTACTACCATTCTTGTTCCTCTATCTACCGAACCTTTAAGTTCTCAAACAAGAACATTCGACCGGAATCGGAATCCAAAGTTGTCAAAGAAAGGAATAGTAATAGGGACGATATCAGGTGGTTTCTTGGCGATTCTTTGTGGTGTTTTTGTGATATATTTAGTATCGAAAAGGAGAAGATCGAATGAGGGTAAAACCGTAAAATGGGAGCTGCCTAAAGATATCCAACTTGGTATTGCTCGTGTTGATCAAGTTCTCAAAATCTACAAATTTGAAGAATTAGAGGAGGCCACAGACGGATTTACCCTCGAAAAGAGATTAAGTGCTTCGGTTTATAAAGGAAGTATAAAGGGTAGAAAAGTCGCGATTAAACAAACGGGGACACACGCGAATAAAGAGGTGAAAATTCTCCAAAAAATTAATCATTTCAATCTTATCGGTCTTTATGGAGTATGTGAACACGATAAATCTTGTTATCTTGTTTAGGAATTCATGGAAAACGGTTCATTAAATGAATGGCTTCGAGATTTGACTTGTCAAAAAAGTCAAACATGGAATAATCGTATTCGTATTGCTTTAGATGTTGCTAAAGGTCTTCAATATCTACATAATTTTGCGAATCCAACATACGTCCATAAAGATATAAACACTAGCAATATTCTATTAACTAAGGATCTACGAGCCAAGATTTCAAAATTTGGTCTTGCAAAGTCAACTGAGAAGGGCGAAAACGTAAATTCATCCATAAAATGTCGGTTTGAGTCAAAGGGGTACCTCGCACCGGAGTATTTAGAGGCAGGATTTGTGACAACGAAGACCGATGTGTATGCATTTGGAGTTGTTTTGTTGGAATTGATAACGGGGAAAAAAGTTGTGTATGAGAATGATGATGATGGGGGACAAGTGATGTTGTGTGAAGAAGTTGTTTCGATTATAGGTGATGAAAATAATGTGAAAAGTAAGGTTAATTACATTATTGACCCTCTTTTGAAAGCTAGACATGCCCTTGGGTTTGTTATAGATCAAGATGAACTTGCACTGCGTTTGGTGAAACTGAGTATTGGTTGTTTGGAAAGTGAACCATCGAGAAGATTAAGTATGAATGAGATTGTTTCTACTCTTATGATGATTCAAATGGATCCACCAAGCTCGGATACCAAGTTTTTGGTGTAGGTTTTTTAAGATTAATTGTATTTATAAATAAACTTTGATTTAAAGAGCTTGTTTAAAGATGTATAATTGTATATTCAAGAAACACTTCTAAGGATAGATACTGAAACAAGGAGTAGTGTAGAATTAAAATCAGGGTAACTGAGTAGTATAGGTCGTAGCTCTTTTAATTTGTTTGTGCTTTTCTTATAATATAATAACATATACATTCATACTTTTGTCTTCTTTTTACTTGCAACTTTATCGTTTTTATCCCTTGGGTTAGTGATTCAAACGAGGGTGGATATTGGCAGGGACTACAATACCCATCCTAACACCTGAATTTCGATCCTAACATCCGTCCCCGCCCACACCCTCAAGTAATCCACAACATACTTCCGCAACAGGTTTTATGTAAAATCTCGTCGAGTACGGGGAATCTCCATAAATTTATTAAAATATAAAAAAACTAAAACAATAATCACGAGAATTAAAATATAAAAAAGGTGATCTTGAAAGCCGACATGATATTTTCATGTTTGTTAATAAACTAAAAGAAAAAGATAATAGTGAATTTCATTATATGTTCTTAAAAAAAAGTGCTCTTCACCTCATCCCATCAAATCTCTATAAATTTATTATCAAAATCTTTTAAAATGCACAAAAGTTCGTTGTGATAGAGGGTGTCGAACTTAAGTATAACACATGGTTTTAAAAAGGGGTTGGCTAAAAAGACATCTCATTTTATCATTTAGACATCCTATATAGTTTTTAAGGTATTTTTATTGGTTGAAATTGCATTGTTTTTTGAAAAATATGACTATAAGTAACTACCTATAGGTTGACTTTTGATAAAGGTGTCTATGGGGTTTCTAAATGGTGTCTTAATAGCAACACCCTTTAAAAATCGTCAGAGGCATGCGATTCAAGGTTGGACTTGAGGTGAGGTGGCAACAAATCGAATATGAAGCGGCACCTTAATTAGGGGTTCAAATGGTGATTAGATTTCTTTACGATTCTGTTTCTTCAGCTCACTCTCACGTCACAAAGTTATATCTTTATGTGCTCTGTGTTTGTATAATTTATTATTAACTTTTTGAAAAATTGAATATTATCTAGTTTTTGTTCCATCTTATCTTCCTACTCCTATAAAACAATAACATGTGGAATCCAATAATTTTCGGGAAAATGACTTAAGAGGGTAATAATTTATTTGGTTTGTTTTCATTTGGTCACTTTTCTTTTTTTTGTATTCAATATACCATTTAATTTGTTGATTGCGTTCACATAAACCATTGTGACCGGCTATCACCTGTTATTGAAGGTTTCCGGTGTCTTTGTCCTCTCCGGCGACTCTCCGGTCACCTTCTCCGGTGAGATTCCGATGAACATGAATATTCCGGCGAGTTCTAGGTCTGAAATAAAATAAGGAAAACAAGGATGTGTGTGTGTCGGTGTGTCAGATCTGAGAAACTCAAATCTGATGGGAACCTCTTCATATCTCCAAAACAGATCTAATACAATTGGAAATCGATTTGTGTGTGTAAATGTGTTCTTTTTTTTAAAGAGATGAACGTGTTCGTTTGAAGGTTCATCGATGGAACTCAAAAGTTCTTGTGTTTGTTTGTTTGTTTCTGGAGAGGGAGACTTGAAGATCGATTCAATAAAGAGAGAACATATAGATTAGTCAAGATCTGCAAATCAATTAGGGCTCTTCTTCTCTATTTTCCAGATCTAAAATTTAATTCAAGGAGAATACCTACGATTCTCTATTTTCCACACACACACACACATCTTGTTCTAAAAACGATTTCAGTGTTCGAGTTCTTCGTTTATGCTTAATTTCTAGGTTCATGTTCAAGAACACATAGAACACATAGCGGGTTCATGTTTAATTTCTGGGTTCATGTTCAAGAACACATAATGTGTTCATCCGCGAGTTTGAAGGTCCAGAAAGCAAACAGTTGGTTGAAGTGTGTGTCGGGTCTTAGAAAACAAGCAGGTTTGTGTTCGAGTTCTCCCTTTCCTTTTTCTGAACACGATTTGTTAAGCTCGATCTTGGATCTGGAAGGCGTTTCAGTTTTCA